TCAACTTTTCGCCCCCTATTCCCGGGCTAACTTGAGAATCCCCAAAGTGGCTTTCGTATCCGCCTCGGCCTGCCCCCCCGCGGCTTCAATTTCCCTAACACTTTTCTCTACCCGGTATGTTTCACCAAGCTTCATCCAACAATATTCCTCCCTCATTTCTCCTGGCCTCTCCCCACAGTCCGCATCACGAGTCTGTTTGTTCTAGCTTTCACTTTCGCTTTCGACCTTAGAGATATCTCCCAGCTTCCCCCCGTAGTCCGTATCCGAATCTATGCCTAGGCTTTCAATAGCATCTTCCGGCACCCTTTTCGTCCGGCTTTTCCCTAGGCTGTTAGCTAGTCTCTCTCTCCGGTATTTTCCCAGTTCTTCCCGTTTCTTCACTCCTAAGTTTACTATCCGTTCTAGGTTTCCTATCCGAGTCACGGCACCATTATGTCGCTCCCCCTCTTCGTGGAGGAACGACACTGAACACTGACTAGGCTTCATATCCGAGTCACGGCAGCATTATGTCGCTCCCCCTCTTCGTGGAGGAACGACACAGGACCCTGCGCTGTTCTTTCGTCTGCTCGGCCCTCCCCGGGTTTGCTGCTGGTTCTTCCCGGGTTGGCTACTATCCCTTCCACCTCCGTGGAAGGGCAGTTCCCCCTGGCCACATTCCCCACTTCCGCAGGGGAGCGGCACACCGCCGGCCGGCTCTCTGGGGGCTGCACAGGTGTTCCTTCAGCTAGATGTTCCCCTTAGATGTTCCTCATAGATGTTCCTCATGCATGCCGTCTCTCTCCTCCTTTATAGTCCTCCTCCGCCAATCCCAACTCGGCTGCCCACACGCCAAGTACGCTGCTCTCCTCCAATCAGTAGCAAGTCCTACAGTTTATTGGTTGAACTGGAGGCAGCTGTGCGGAAGCTGTTTACTTCTCTCCCAACGCCACATTGTGGGAGAGCAGATGCATAGAATAAGTCTTAATTCGAGTAACTTAGTCTAGTCCGGATTGCTCCCCACAATTACAATGTGGCTTCTGCTGAGTACCACCGCGAAGCCCTGGGGAGTCTACTGACCACTCACCACTGATGTTGTTATCTGTAAAGCACTTTTGTTATTGTTGTTCTTAGTCTTTTTCTTGTAGAAATGACATTCTTTAAAATTCTTAATGATAACAGGGCTTATGTTTCAATTTGTTTTCTGTTCTACATTAAACAGAAAATAAAAGGAGTGCAAGCTCCTTTTCTCATTTCAAAGTTGCTACCAGTGTAGCAGTAATTAGAAAAAGAAGAAAAATTCAGTAGAACACTTTATTGCATAGTTGGCAGCGTTGCTTGAATGCTGGTGGTTCCACCCCTTTGACACTACACAATTTTCTAATGCTATGTGATAAAAACACCCTGATTCCTAGTGCCAAAGGTTCAACTTAATGTATATAACTGAATGTATATATCTTACTGTATATCCCTGAAAGCCTATGTATTTTTGCTCTTTGTGTGTGTGTGTGTTGCTTGAAGTAAAAACTGCCCATCCTCTGCAAATCCATCTGTGTTGTTCCTTAGGCATTCCATCTTTGCTCAAATTGTTGTGAGGTGGTCATTTGCTTCATGGTTTTTGCATTTGAGTCTAATGCACGTTCTAACATGATGGAGGCAATGCATTATTGCGTAGCCACGGTTTTCTGGAGAACTTGATATTTTAGGAATTGTATTTCAGAATCCAAATAAAAATCATTTTTCTAAGTTTCAGAGCATAAATAAATAAATCTGGTAACATAAAGGAGTGAGCACCTGGCATAATGGTTAAGACACTGCTTGGGACACCCACGTCCTACACCAGAGGGCCTGGGTTCAAGTCCTGGCTCTACTCCCAATTCCAGTTTCCTGCCAATGCACATCCTGGGAAGCAGAGGTGATGGTTCGAGTATCCAGGTCCCTGCCACCCACGTGGGAGACCCAGACTGAGTCCCAGTATCCTGGCTTCCGTCTGGGCCAACCCCAGCTATTGCAGGTATTTGGGGATGAATCAGCAGATGGAAGTTCTCTCCCCCTCTTTATGCCTTTCAAATAAATGTAAGTATCTTTTTTAAAAGATTTATTTATTTTTATTTGAAAGGTAGAGTTACAAGGAGGCAGAGAGAGAGAGGTCTTCCATCTACTGGTTCACTCCCCAGATTGCCACAACAGCCTGAGCTGAGCTGAGCTGATCCGAAGCCAGGAGCTTCCTCCAGGTCTCCCATGTGGGTGCAGAGGCCCAAGGACTTGGGTCATCTTCTACTGCTTTCCCAAGCCATAGCAGAGAGCTGGATCGCAAGTGGAGTAGCCTGGACTCAAACCTGTGCCCATATGGGATACCAGTGCCACAGATTTACCCGCTACACCACAGCAGCAATGTAATCTGTGGAACTGACCCATATTGAAGAAAACTAAAAAGATTTTGTAGTTAAATATAATGCATGATTCTGGATTTGATTATGGTATAATTTCAATCTGAGTTTTCTGATTTCATCATTGTACTTCATTATGCAAAAAAAAAAAAGTACTCTTTCTTAGGAAACTCACACTGATGGGTTTGGGGATGGGGACACCTGTGTGCTGGGGAAGTATGCTCATTACAAGGGAGGTGCTCAGGGCGCCCCAGGCCACAGCTGTGGGGCCCTCAACACGGGGAGGCACAGCTACTGCTGCCACCTCCAGCCACCCTGGGCTCTCTGTTCTCTCTGCTACTAGAGGAACCTGGTGTGTGGCTGACCCCAAAGTCTTTGGTTGACTCAAGAAAGTAGGATGAGCTTTTCAAGGCAAGGAATTCCCTTTTGTGATTTTATTTACTTGAGGTTTTTTTTTTTTAATAATTCTTTTATTTATTTGAAAGGCAGAATTGGGGAGAGACAGAGAAAGAGAGAGACCTTCCATCTTCTGGTTCACTCCCCAGATGGCCTCAATAGCCAGGGCTGGGCCAGGCTGAAGTCAGGAGCCTGGAGCTCCATCTGGGTCTCTCATATGGGTAGCAGGGGCCCAAATACTTGGGTCATCTTCAGCTGCTTTCCCAGGCTCATTAGCAGGGAGCTGGAACAAAAAAGGAGCAGCCAGGACTTGAACCCGCACTCCCGCATCACAGGCAGTGGCTTCACCCACTGCAACACAACGCCACCCCCTTGAATTCTGACTGCATCCTACGGACCTCCACAGTGGTGTAGAAATTGCCTTATTTCAGTGTTTGGTACAGACAATGTGCACTGCAATATTTAGAGCAGAGTACCTTCATTTATCCTTGGCAATGAGTTTTATATGCGCCCCTCCAAAGGAAAGCCAAGACTTCCCTCCCAAACCAGTCCAACCTCCACCCATTCCACAGAAGGAGAAAAAGAAGTCCCAGCAACAACCACGCTGAGACCCAGAAGTCCCCCAGGATTCCCTCTACCAAGGTGAGTGGCCTCAAATCAGGGCAAGCCACGGATCCTCGGAGAAGCGTCCTCCCGGGAAGAGGAAGAGAGCGGTCTCACACTGCCCACCTCGGTTCCAGGCCCTGTTCCACGGGGCCGCCAGCTTGCACTTCCCATTTCTATAGAAGAGAGAGCCCCCATCCACAAACAGAAAAGCTGGGGCTGCCCCCAGGAGCCCCCTCCTATCGCCTGCCCTCCAGCCACACTGTCCAACCCCCCCCCACTTCCCCGGGGGTTGTCAGGGACAGAAGGCCCCTCCCTCGCCCCCCCACAGGTTCCTCCACACACACACACCCCCATCACTAGGGTGTCCAGGACATTGTGTGACTCAGGAAGCGGCTCAGACGTGAGGCTTGCAGCAGGCCGAGGAGGAGAGGAAGGGCCAGTGGGAGCAGGGGCGGTGGCCCTGCCTCGGCGAGGGCTCTGAGGGTCCCTGCCTGAAGAGCGAGAGGGCACCTGGGCTTGGGGCCCGGGCTCTGGAATGCAGCCCCCTTCCCTGCTCCTGCTGCTGCTGCTGCCACCCCCGCTGTGCTTCCCGGCTGTGATGGGCAGAGGTGAGGCATGGGGTGCGAGGGTGGGGGCATATCCCCCTTTGGAGACTGTCCAGGCTTGGGGGGTGGAGGAAGGGCTGAGTCCTGGGCTTCCAGGGGACCCTGCATGGAGGAGATCCTCACCGGTCAAATAGGAACAGCCCCCGGGGAGATATGGCTCTGCCCCTGGAAATGCACAGAGGCTTTGGGCCTGCTGCCAGGGGTGGTGACTGCTAAGGGGGCTGGGGGATGGGCTGCTCACCCCAAGGGAGAACCCAGTCAGCCCTGGATCTAAGAGGCAGGGGGGCTTCTGCAGCCACATGGAGGAGAAGAAGGAACAGACTGACCACCTGCTAGGGAAAGAGGGCAGAAGGGATCAAGAGATGCAGACATGGAAGGTCAAGAGCCCAGCAAGTCCTTTTCCCAGTCCAGTTACCCCCACCCCCCAGATGGCTAAATGTGAGGCCCTTCCGGAAGAAAATCCTTTCCAATTCCCACCCTTTCCCCTCCGGGAAACTTCCCCCTTCCCGGTTCCCCCCCCCCCCCCCCCCGCGCCCGCTCCTGGTCTCCGTTGTCCTGCTTCCGGGGGGAGGAGCTGAAGCTGGTCTCAGGAGGCCAGAACAAACAGGAAGGAGGCGGGGTGGGCTGAGTAACCGGGAGGCCTGCGATGTGGAGGGCTGAGTGGGGAGCACGTGGGCACAGGAGCACGGAGGAGGCGGTGGTTAGAGCAGGTGTGAAGCCTGCTCAGGGCAGGTCTCTCCGCAGCACCTGGAGGAGGAACCACAGAGACACTGCCGGGCTCCTTGTCATCTCCCTCTCCACCCCTAGGGCTGCTGTGTGGGAGTTTGCCAGACCCCTGTGCCAACGGAGGCACCTGCCTGAGCCTGTCTCAGGAGCTAGGGACCTGCCTGTGAGTGTGCCTCGTGAGAGGGGGCGCCTGGAGAGAAAGGGGGAGAGAGGAGGAGGTGAAGGAGGAGGAGGCAAGTAAAGGCAAGGAAGGGAGGCGGGACGCAGCGTGAGCTCTCCTCTCTCATCTCCTGCCCAGGTGTGCCCCAGGCTTCCTGGGTGAGACGTGCCAGTTTCCTGACCCCTGCCAGGATGCCCAGCTCTGCCAGAACGGGGGCAGCTGCCAAGCCCTGCTTCCCACCCCCCCGGGCTCCCCTGGCCCTCCCTCTCCATCAGCCCCAGGCTTCTCCTGCACCTGCCCCCCTGGCTTCACTGGCGAGAGGTGCCAGTCCCGGCTCGAAGACCCCTGTCCTCCCTCCTTCTGTTCTGGAAGGGGCCGCTGCCACAGCCAGGCCTCTGGCCGCCCGCAGTGCTCCTGCATGCCAGGGTGGACAGGTGAGTGCTGATGGGGGGCGGTGAGGAGGGCAAAGCCAGGAGCAGTGGGCTGAGCTGGGAGGTGGGAAAGATGGGACTGGAGCCTGGGACATGGGGAGCCCTGTGAGGACAGAGGCCATGAGACTCAACACAGTGGCTCCTGGTGGCCACCTACCCAAGGATGACTTCCACTAGAAAGTTGTGCTGATTGCTAATATTTCCAAAAAGCGTGAAACATTTGAAAAGGAAGAGTGCCATGCACCGCCTAGTACCCTATCCCTGGCCCCCTCAGCCTCCCCTGGATCCAGCAGCATCCCGGGGAACCTCCAAGACTCATCATTCCGAGCATCTGAATGGCCCCTGTTCTGTACAGTGGGTGCCCAGGACACCACCCAGAAAGACTGACTCCCTAGCACCTGGGACGGGGGGGCCACTGGTGGCCATGCCCCCTCCCCTGCTGCTGCCATTACCACTGTGCCCACGGCTGGGAAGTGAGATTCCTCAGCCCTGTGGGCATTACACCCACCTAGAAATCAGGGTATCAGGGTCAGAGAGCTGAAATGACTCCCCTGAGGGTTCAGAGTCAGCCATGGCAGGGCAAGGTGCCAGCCTGCATCTCCCGGCTGCCCATGCTGGGTGGTGTCCACCTCCCCAAGGAGGTCGCCCTGTGTCCCAGGTGTTCCCAGGCAGGGCCCCTTGGCAATGCTCCACCATGAGGTACAAGGCCTATTTTAAGTTCCTGTTTTCTCCTGATATATCCCTCCCAGCATGGGAAAACCGAGGCAAGGGGACAAAGAACAGGGCAAAAAGAAATACAAAAACTCGACAGAGTGAGCCAGACAGAGCAAGCTGGAACTGGAGCTGGGAAGAGCTCCCTCTGCCCTCTGCCCTCTGCCCTCTGCCCTCTGCCCTCTGCCTCAGGTGAGCAGTGCCAGCTTCGAGACTTCTGCTCGGCCAACCCCTGCATCAACGGAGGCGTGTGTCTGGCCACGTACCCCCAGATCCAGTGCCGCTGCCCGCCCGGCTTTCAGGGCCACACCTGTGAACATGACATCAACGAGTGCTTCCTGGACCCGGGCCCCTGCCCCAAAGGCACCTCCTGCCACAACACCCTGGGCTCCTTCCAGTGTCTCTGCCCCGCAGGGCGGGAGGGCCCACACTGCGAGTTCCGGGCGGGCCCCTGCCCCCACAGGGGCTGTCTGAACGGAGGCACCTGCCAGCTGCTGCCGGGGGCAGACCCTCCCTTCCACCTGTGCCTCTGCCCCACAGGTGCGTCCCCGCACGGTTTTCTCGCAGCCCCTCCCTCTGGGCAGGGAGGCTTGTCTCCCTTGGGTCCTCCGTCCACCCCGGCCTCTCCAAGCTGTTCCCACGACCCCACCAGGTTTCACAGGCCCGGACTGTGACGTGAATCCAGACGACTGCGTCAGGCACCAGTGTCAGAACGGGGGCACCTGCCAGGACGGGCTGGGCAGCTATACCTGCCTCTGCCCAGAGGCCTGGACAGGTGAGTCGTTGAAGTCAGAGGTGCAGACAGTCAGCCCCAGCCTCCGTTCCTCACGGGCTCCGCGACCCAGCCCTTGTCCCCTTCCCACCCCCTGCAGGCTGGGACTGCTCAGCAGACGTGGACGAGTGTGAGGCCCAGGGCCCCGCGCGCTGCAGGAACGGGGGCACGTGCCAGAACTCAGCTGGCAGCTTTCACTGCGTGTGTGTGAGCGGCTGGGGGGGCACCGGCTGCGAGGAGAACCTGGACGACTGCCTCGCTGCCACCTGCGCCCCAGGATCCACCTGCATAGACCGCGTGGGTTCCTTCTCCTGCCTCTGCCCACCTGGACGCACAGGTGCGAGGACAGGGGACACCCGGGAGCTGGGAGGTGGAGAGGGAGGGCAAGAGACACACCAAGAGGGCAGCCGGGAGCTCCGAGTGGCCTCTGAGAGCCTCGCCGGCATCCTGCCCCTGCAGGCCTCCTGTGCCACCTGGAAGACATGTGTCTGAGTCAGCCTTGCCACGGCGAAGCCCAGTGCAGCACCAACCCCCTGACGGGCTCCACGCTCTGCCTGTGTCAGCCCGGCTACTCAGGGCCCACCTGCCACCAGGACCTGGACGAGTGTCAGATGGGTGAGGCACCCTGCACTCCAGACTCTCTCAGTCCCAGCCCTATTTTTCAGGCCTCTGGTCTTTACACTGCAAGACTGGACACATCATTTCCCTTGGATTGGTCCAGTTCCAGTGTCTCCTCCCTACATGGCTCTCCCACCCAGGCTCAGCCCTCCAGGCCCACAGATGTGACCCCTTGGTCTTTCAAGACACAAGTATCTGCCCCACTGTGGTCTCATCCACCACCCCTGACAGCCTGGCCCCCCTATGCCCTTCCCACTCCCGGCTCCCCTCTCCTCCCAGCACAGCAAGGCCCCAGTCCCTGTGAACACGGCGGCTCCTGCCTCAACACCCCTGGCTCCTTCAACTGCCTCTGTCCACCTGGCTACACGGGCTCCCGCTGCGAGGCCGATCACAACGAGTGTCTGTCCCAGCCCTGCCACCCCGGCAGCACTTGTCTGGACCTACTTGCCACCTTCCACTGCCTCTGCCCACCAGGTGCCAGCTGGGTGCGGCCTTGGGTGGGTATTGGAGGGGACAGGGAACTGACCTGAGCCCAAGAGGTGGAAAGGGTGCGGGGGTGGGGGGAGAGGCGGGCTCCAGAGCAAGCACTGCCCCGGGCTGGTTGGGGTTAGTCTCCCCCGATGCTTCTGCTCCCAGATGAAAATGCTGAGACGCCCTTGGCCCCTAGGAGAAGGCTAGCATGGATGGCAGTGAGTTGTGCGCTGCTCACTCAGCTCTAGGGGGCTGTCTTTCATTTCATTTCATCACAGAGCACACAGCCTGGTCGGCGGCCCAGCAGGGGAGGGTTGGAGGCAGTTAATAGACTTCCCCTGCTGCTGTGGCCTCTGCTCCTGCAACCCAGAACCCAAACCCAGAGAAACAACAGCTTGCTTTGTCTGACCCTCTCACATGCCTTCTCTTTCCAATGAGCCTGTGACGTCAGCATTGTTACCACGCCTGCTTTATAAGTGAAGAAACCGAGGCACAGAGGGGTTAAGTGACCTTTCTAATGTCCTCCAGCTTGCAAGTGGCAGTGCCAAAATTCAAGCTAGGGGCTGCTCCTTGCTACCTGACGGTGGTTCAGGCTACCCACAGACAAGCACAGAAGGATAAGAGAAAACTGTTCAGAGACCCAAGGGATGAGGTTGTAGATGGCAAAGCCCTTCAGAGGCAGGCCCCCAGGTGAGAAAGGAGAGAAGCCTGGAGGCTGAAGCTGCCTTAGTTCAGGGTGAGGCCGAGGAGACCCAGTGAATCCGAAGCAACAGAACAAATACGGGGGCCACGCGGCTTCCCAAACACCCTTCAAGTCCCCCCACTGTGGATTCCCTGTGGCATGGAGGCCTGCCCAGGGAGAAGCAGGAGTGATACCCCCCAGGTACACCTGTCCTACTTGCAGCCCGCAGACCGCCCCATCCGTGTGCACACGGCACTGTCCCCGGCAGGTGCCCTGCTCCCCAGCCTTTCAGCCCAAAGGAGGCAGAGCCTCAGGCCACAGAGCAATAGGACCCCAGGGTCATCAAGTCCGACCTTCAGCAGACCCACTGGAACACAGGTCTCCTAGGCAGAGCGGGCAGCAGTCACGGCAGGGCCAGCCCAGCTGAGCCTCTGCCTCTGCCAACACCTGTGCCCAGGCTTAGAAGGGCGGCTCTGCGAGGTGGAGACGGACGAGTGTGCCTCGGCTCCTTGCCTGAACCACGCTGACTGCCACGACCTGCTCAACGGCTTCCTGTGCATCTGCCCGCCCGGTGAGCAGCCACCCCCAGCCCAGGCCTCCGGACCCCCAGCGTTCAGGCCCAGCAATGACCCAAGGCTCTTGAAGCCCTCTCTCTCTCTCTCTCTCTCTCTCTCTCTCTCTCTCTCACCTGACCCTGGAGTTCCTGATTCTCCAACCTCTCTGCCCCCAACCCAGAATCTCTTGTGCTGTACCCCTAACCCCCTTGCTATCTCACCCTTCTCATCTCTGGCCAATCTCCTCTGGCAGAGTCCCCTGTGTACTCTCTGTACTCTCCCTGCACAGTCAGGGTCCCAGGCTGCCTTGGCACGGCTCCTCCTGAACAGAGAGAAAACTGCCCAGGCAGCCCTCGTCTGGGGTCACATGGTCATGGCCATGGTCACAGCCACATTTACTGAACATTTACCCCAGGCCAGGCCCTCGCCTAGGCATTTTCCAGGCATTAGGCCATTTGGCTGTTCCACTGGTACCACGAGGGCAGTGCCGTCATTATTCCCCTTTATCAGACCAGGGAACTGGAGCCCAGAGAGGCTGAGGAGCTTGCCCAGCGCCACGCAGCTGGCAGGTGGCTGAGTTTGCCTTTTCTGCACCACCTCCTGTCGCCCCGTGCCCATCTGCCCCGGATGCCCCCCGGGGGGCCCCTACAGGTTCATCTTTCCTGGCAGGAGGAGGGGCTATCCCTTGACCTTCTCTCCCACCCACTCCCTGCCCCACCAGGGTTCACCGGCGCCCAGTGCGAGGAAGACATTGACGAGTGCAGAAGCTCCCCCTGTGCTGGCGGCGGGCGGTGCCAGGACAAGCCCGGAGCCTTCCATTGCGAGTGTCTCCCGGGTAAACCGGGGCTCAGCAGCTGGAGGGGAGGGGGCAGACATCTGTGCAGGTCCCTGACTCTCCTGCTGCTCCGCCATAGGCTTTGAAGGGCCACGCTGTGAGACGGAGGTGGACGAGTGTCTGAGTGGCCCCTGCTCCCCGGGGGCCAGCTCCCTTGATCTCCCAGGAGGTTTTTCTTGCCTTTGCCCTTCTGGCGTCACAGGTCAGCAGCGACGGGGGGGGGGGGGGGGGGTCAGAGATGTTGGAGAGGACTGGTAGGATATTTGAGCCCATTTGGGGTGGAGCGGAGGTCGCTGGTGGGTGTTTGGGATGTGAGAATGCAATGAGAGTGGTACCCTTTAAAGTTAATTCAGTGCAAAGCCCACACAAGCGTGCAGCCGCGGGGACGAGGGCAGGGGTGAGTGTAAGGCCCACATGAACGGTGTGAGTGGGGCTCAGCAGCAGAGGAAGAGCTTAAAGGGCAGCCATTCACCCGCTCACTTAGCGAGCAGCTGTTAGGTGCCTGCTGCACCAGACACAGACACAAAGTCGAATAAGAGAGTTGCCATCCTCAAGTGGCCTTGAATCTAATGCAGAGACCAGCAGGTTCCTCTGTGGTCATGGGCCCAGAGCGGTGTTCCCCAGACAGGGGAATGCACAAGATCCTATCCGAGCCCAAAGAACCAACCAACCCAGACCAAGGATGGGAAGGCTTCACGGAGGAGGGGATGGCCGAGCCGAGTCTAGAAAACTGATTAGGAGTGTGTCAAGACAGAAGTGAGGCAGCGTGTTTTAGCCAGAGATAGCCACGTGTGCAAAGGCATGCAGGGCAGAAAAGCGGAGCCCGCTGAAGGAGCTGAGAGAGAGGTGGGGTGGCAAAGATGAGGAACACAGCCATTGTCGAAGGCCATGTTGTAGGTGATCCCAGATGTCACTCTGGGAAGTTAGACAGCACCCAGCAGGCAACAGGGAGCCACTGAAAAGCAGGTGCTTGGGGAGCGAGTGGCTCACACTGAAGAAGGGGCCTGCAGTCCCATCGAGGACAGAGAGAGGTTCTGTTTCCTCTCTGACCCACCTCCCCACCGCAGGCCAGCTCTGCGAGGTCCCCCTGTGTGCCCCCAACCTGTGCCAGCCCAAGAAGAAATGCCAGGACCAGGAAGACAAGGCCCACTGCCTCTGCCCCGACGGAAGCCCCGGCTGTGCCCCCGCTGAGGACAACTGCACCTGCCACCATGGGCACTGTCAGAGGTGACCTCCGGGCCCTCCCCCTCGGCCCCTTTCTCTGAGTCCTCCTCTGTTCAGGCAGGAGAAGACCCAGGGAGGGGCGGGTCTGCGGGAAATGACCAATGAGAATAGGAAGGAGATGGCACAGTTCTTAGGGCAAGCTGGGTGGAGGTGCGGGGGCTCAACTGGGACGTGCTGTCCAAGGCAGGGAGAGCTCATACCTAGTGCAGGAAACAGAGGGCCAGGAGGCCAGAGCAGAAAGAAGGGTAGTGAGTCCCAGGGCCAGGTCATCATTCACCCACAAACAGCACTGAGCATCCGCTTCAGGCGGACGCTCCTCTGGGCACTGAAGCGGCTGCCTGCAGGGAGCTTTCACTCCAATGACAAATAAAAAACAGACACTGTGAACTTAGAGAAGGAATGCATCCATATATACAACTGGAGAAAACGAGCCGGAGGAAGCTGTACAGAGGAGAAGGGTGATGCTGAGAGCAATGTCCCTAAGAGAGAGGCCAAAGAGGGGGGCACAGAAGTCCAACCAATGGCAGGGGGGCGATGCACCAGGAGAGGAGAAACACCTTCCTCTTTCTCTTTCTGACCAGATCCTCGTGTGTGTGTGATGTGGGTTGGACAGGGCCAGAGTGTGAGGCAGAGCTGGGGGGCTGTGTCTCTGCACCCTGTGCCCACGGGGGGACCTGCTACCCCCAGGCCTCTGGCTACAACTGCACCTGCCCCGCAGGCTACACAGGTGAGGCCCTCCCTAAGCCATATATACTCTGGGCTGGTCATCCCCAACATGAAAGGCAAGGCATGAGTCCAAGGGCTCAGTGTCTCAGTCACCACCAAGGAGAACTGGGCATGGGCTGCAGGGGCACAGCTGATGTACAGGGTGGTGGTGGCACATACTGGAGGGAGGAGTAGAAAAGAGGCTGGGTGAGGGAGAATGGTAGGGTTGGGGATGAGGAGGAAGGGGAGAGGGAAGAGGAGGAAGGTAGAGGGAAGGACCCACCTGTTTTCCCCAGGGCCCACCTGTAGTGAGGAGGTAACAGCTTGTCACTCAGGGCCCTGTCTTAATGGTGGTTCCTGCAGCCCCAGCCCTGGGGGCTACTCCTGCACCTGCCCTGCAAGCCACACGGGACCCCAGTGCCAAACCAGCACTGACCACTGTGTGTCTGGTGAGTGCCCGCCAAGACCTGGGGTGCTGTGTCCTAGCGGGTGGAGGAACCGGGCAGCCATCTTTTTAGAGAACTCCTTGGAAGGCGTGAGCTGTTGTTTTGGTATGAGGTATATGTCCTGTGTGCAGTGTAACAACAGTCTCCTCTCTCTAGCTCCGTGCCTCAATGGAGGTACCTGTGTGAGCAGGCCAGGCACCTCCTTTTGCCTCTGTGCCATGGGCTTCCAGGGCCCACGCTGCGAGGGAAGGATCCGCCCTAGCTGTGCAGACAGGTGAGCAGAGCACAAAGACTCCGGGGCGGGGAGGAGCCCCTCAGCCTTCCTGCCTCCCTCTCCATCTGCCCCTGGGCTCCAAGCCACCTCAACTCCACACCCCTACTCCTCAGTCTCCTTCCCTCCCGGTCGGCCTCTCTCCAATGGTTGTCCCCCCACACATCACACACTCCCTCCCCACATTCCCCAGACCTTCTTCCCACTGCACCCCTGTCTTGTCCAGTCCTTGTAGGAACCAGGCGACCTGCCAAGACAGCCCTCAGGGGCCCCGCTGCCTCTGCCCCCCTGGCTACACAGGGGGCAGTTGCCAGGTGAGGACCCCTGAGCCACCTGTGCTGAGGAGGGGTCGGCTGGAGAGCTCTGGTCAGTGGGGTCTCGTCCAGGCAGCCTGGGAGGGGGCCCACAGGAAAGGGGTATGGAGCTCCAGCCTGAGGTTCGTGTGAAGGAGGAGGAAGGACTGAATGAGTTCCCAGCCCCAGGGGCTGTTCTGGACTGGGGGTATCAAAGGAAAGCCCTTTGGGGATGGGGGAGGTCAGCTAATCCCAGGCCATTCAGGAGAGATAGAAAAAGGTGCCATTGGCAAAGGACTGTGTCTGTGCTCGCCGCCCTGGTGCTCTGACCTGCCTCATGCTCCCTCCAACCCCCAGACACTGGTGGACTTATGTGCCCAGAAGCCCTGTCTACACAGCTCCCACTGCCTCCAGGCTGGGCCCTCTTTCCACTGCCTGTGCCTCCAGGGATGGACGGGGCCTCTCTGCAACGTGCCTCTCTCCCCCTGCCAGAGGGCTGCGCTGAGCCAAGGTACCAGCCCAAAGGACAACAGGGTGGGGGGCAGACAAGGAAAAAGAGGGTGTCCTCCTCGACACCATCCCTCAGGGCAGCCACGAACATCACCGACTAAGAGGCAAAAACAACACAGACCAAACACAGTTACCGATTCCACGGTTCAGCACCTGGGCAAGTCCGTCCAGGCACTGAACACAAATCAAACACCCCCAACCAGCCCAGTGAGCAGCAGAGCCACCAGGCACTTACTGGGAAGCGCCCAGTGATGTCATGATCATCACAGCTACACACACACACACACACACCCTACTCGGCCTGAGGTTATGCCAGCCCCCTTGTGAGCTTTCCTCATCCAATTAAGCTTTAGTCTGGGAGGAGCTTGGGAAAGAGACTGTTGTGGGGGTCGGGGCAAGACCAATGCAATCAAAAGGAGAGAACAGCAAAGACGTAAAACTCAAGAGACAGTTGGGGCCACGAGTTAAGCCACGCACCCCGACTGGAAGTCTCCCTGGCATTCTTTCTTAAGATTTGTTCTAAACCAAGGAAGCAGATGCTTGTAACATTGCAATACGCCTAAAAAGAGACATCTCGCCATTCGCCAGTGCTGGCCGAAAGGGCAAGAGAGAGGAACTTGATGTTCTCATCTGCCCAGGCTCAGAGTGGCCTCCACCCAGGAATGCCAGTGGCCCCCACGGGGAATAGGCCTCTTTTCTCAATGTCTGGGCCCCTGGACACCCTTCCTCCTACTGTGTGTTCACCTGTCCCCCTGTTTACTTCTCCCGCCAGGCACAGACGTCCCTTCCCTGTGCCAGAATGGAGGCCTCTGTATTGACAGCGGCACCTCCTATTTCTGCCACTGCCAGCCTGGATTCCAAGGCAGCTTGTGCCAGGATAATGTGAACCCTTGTGAGTCCAGGCCTTGCCAGCATGGGGCCACCTGTGTGGCCCAGGCCAATGGGTATCTCTGCCAGGTGAGAGAGTCTTAGAGCGGGGAGAGAGGACCAGGGTAGGCTGGATGTGGGAGACCGTGAGGGGGAGGGGGAACCCAAGGTAGCCAGTTCCTCCTTTCCTGTGCCCTACACATCCACCCAACCGCCAAGACACGCCATCCTCCTGCCTAAGCGTTTCTCCACTCCATCCTTTCCCTTCCTTCTCTGTCCAGACCTGTGTTGCATTTACCCGGATGCCTGCACCAGCCTCCTAACTTCTGCCCTTGCCTGCACACTTGTCCTGTAGCTTCCAGTCTGCCCCATTCCTCGCCTGAAAACGTCAAGCTGGCTGTCGCTGTCCTGCCCGCCGCCCTGCAGTGGCCGCTCACTTCTTTTCAGAATGGCCCTGCCTGGCCCAGCACTACCTGCCTCTCAGGCCTCCCCATCCCCACCCGCACCAACGTGCTGCTAGCAGGCAGAGCCTTGATTCCTGCCTTTATCGCCGCTGTTGCCTCTGCCAGGAATGGCCTTCCACAGCGGGGGTGCCCGGGAAGAGCCCTCAAGGTCTCCCCAGGCCGGGCAAGAGCCTCTCCTTGGTGGTCCAGGTCACCAAGTCCGGAGACGCAAAGCTGGGATCCAAGTCCAAGCGGCCGGATTCCTGCGCTCAGAACCACAACCTTTGGAAGAAAGCACCACGCAGATCCCCTAACCCACGCCCTTTCACTTTTCCTTTTTATTTTAACCTTTTGTCGTGAATGCTTTTAAACACATCCAAAAGCAACGCATTGATCCACAGTGATCATAGCACGTCCTCCTCCGGAGGTTCCCAGCCCCCACCCACACCCCTGCTCTCTGGTCATGGCCTGGCTCCCAGTCCTTGCTAGCACTCCTGCCCCTTGCAGGAAACCTGCACATGGTGTAGATCTTTCTGATGACCCTTTTCTTCCTAGCAGAGCAGCGTGAAGCAATCAGATGAGGGTTGAAGGGCACTGGGCATGGAGTCACAGTCACTTAATCTTCCAGGGCACTTAGCGTTTTTGTCTGTAAAGTGGAGATCAAGCGGGACAATCCAAGTAAAGTGTTGCTGGGAAGGTTTCATGGTTATGGGTATAAATCTTGCAACAAATGCCTTCTCCTCGGATTGACTAAGAGCTTCACGGAAACAGGCACCTTCTCTCATTGTCTTTGTATTTCCTGTGCCTAACACAGCCTCTGGCACAAAGTAGGCATTTAATAGATGCTAGGATGAAGTTTCGCCAAGACTGGGCTATGGTGAGTGGCCATGTGTCACACATGGGGGAGGGTGGTGCGCTGTTGCACAATCGTGTGTCATGTGAAGTTGAGACCGAAGGGTTAAGCTCTGCGTGGCTGTGATGGATGCAGAATTGGGTGATGCTGGTGAGCTGGAAGATGAGGTGGTGGGGGCAGGCAGCTGTCTCTGGCTGGGCACCTTGTAATGCCAGCTGGACTCATGCTTGGCTCCCTGTCTGACCCCACCTGCAGTGTGCCCCAGGCTACAGTGGACAGAACTGCTCAAAGGAACCCGACGCTTGCCAGTCCCAACCCTGTCACAACCAGGGAACCTGCACTCCCACACCTGGAGGCTTCCACTGTGCTTGCCCTCCGGGCTTTGTGGGGCTACGCTGTGAGGGGGACGTGGACGAGTGTCTGGAGCGGCCCTGCCATCCTACAGGCACCGCTGCCTGCCACTCTCTGGCCAATGCCTTCTACTGCCAGTGTCTGCCTGGACACACAGGTGAGGCCTGGGATGGAGGACACAGGAACCTCTGGGCACAGCCAAGTAGACTGGGGACATCCAGACAAACCCTACCCATAAGACAGCCTCGCCATCTTGCCCAGCCCACTTCCTCCACATCCCCCTCCCCCCACAGAAGATGCCCCAGGATCCCTCTGTCTGCAGGCCTAGTGCTGGGCCGACTCCCAGGAGTGAGTTAGGAGGGAGGCGGTGACTGGTGCAGTGTGACATCTAACCTCACCCCTTGCCACAGGGCAGTGGTGTGAGGTGGAGATCGACCCCTGCCAGAGCCAGCCCTGCTCCCACGGAGGGTCCTGTGAGGCCACAGCTGGACAGCCCCCAGGTTTCACTTGCCACTGCCCCAAGGTACGTGACCACAAAGCTGCTTTCTCTGCTGCCCCTGCACTGATATAAGGCAAGGACATCTGAGCTGGAATCCTAGAGGGAGGCAAGGCAAGCACCGGCGTGGGGACTGTGCTGGAGAAACCATCTCAAGTTTATGGTGACGCAGGAGGGGGAAGGCAGGATCTGCTGTATCGTGAATAGAATTTTCAGAAATCACAGACATTGTCTAAGGGACAGCAAAAAGCTCCCCAAGGTCAAGCCGGATGGCCTTGGAGAAGTTCTTTTAATTCTGTGTATGTGTGTGTGTTTATGGACCTCAGGTGCATGGAACGGGATTCATCTTAAACCTTGATTCATGATATTCTCACATTGGTGTGTGCCGGGCATGCTTATTTTATTTTTCTCACGGTTTAACACCCATAAACCTACTCAAGAATTATGTTAACAACTTACATCTACTTATGCCCTCCTCTGTCTCCAAGAGGAAGAAGGAAGTATTTAATCCTGTCTCCAAGGATTAAGATAACGTAAGAGTTCCTCTCTGTTAACTGGGTAGTCTCCCAGGATGTGCATAGGATGCCAGCGTTGCACACAGCTGTGGCTCACCTAGCCTTACCAGGTGAAGTGACCCTGAGACATGGCTCCAGCACCCAGAAAATGATTAACTTGACGGCCTCCAAGATCCTTCACGTGTGAGGATCGAGGAGCCTCTGTGCTATCTTAACCAGGAGTGGTCTGCTTGAGTAGGGAACGTGGAAAAATAAGGCCAGGTCTTTGCTTAACATCTCTCATCCCCTCCACAGGGTTTTGAAGGCCCCACCTGCAGCCACAGAGCCCCTCCCTGCGGCCTCCACCACTGCCACCATGGAGGCCTATGCCTGCCCTCCCCTAAGCCAGGCTTGCCGCCCCTCTGCGCCTGCCTCAATGGCTATGGGGACCCCGACTGCCTGACCCCACTGGCTCCTCAAGGCTGTGGCCCCCCCTCGCCATGCCTGCACAACGGCAGCTGCTCAGAGAGCCCTGGGTTGGGGGGCCCGGGCTTTCGGTGCTCCTGCCCTCCCGACTCCCCAGGGCCCCGATGTCAGAGGCCCGGTGCGAAGGGGTGTGAGGGCAGAGGGGGAGACGGGGCCTGTGACGCCGGCTGCAGTGGCCCGGGAGGAAACTGGGACGGAGGCGATTGCTCCCTGGGGGTCCCGGACCCCTGGAAAGGGTGCCCTTCCCACTCCCGGTGCTGGCTTCTCTTCCGGGATGGGCAGTGCCACCCACAGTGTGACTCGGAAGAGTGTCTGTTTGATGGCTATGACTGCGAGACTCCTCCGACCTGCACGTGAGCCTCCATCCTCGGGAGCAGGGGAGAGTAGGGGGCAGAGGAGGTGAGGAGGACGGACATGGGTGCTTCTGAGTCAAGGTGTGGGTGCAGCCTCAGGCTCCGGGGAGCGTCGTAGCTCATAACCACTGTGAAGTGGGCTGGGCTCCAACCCAGCACAATGAGGTGGCCTGGATGCCTGGTGTGGGGCACGGGTCTTTGGGCTTCTGAGAGTTGTGGGTGGTCAGACCTCAAGTCTGCCTCCCTTGGCGCAGCTGCCATAAAGGCCTTGGACCCTAGTTCAGGAAGACAGGGAGCTCAGGGTGGGTACGGAGAGACGATGGTCTTAGGAGATGGGCATATGTCACGTACGTTGACATCAGGGTGTCTGCCCCACCCAGAGCGCCACAGCTGCCCCTCTTTAGCAACTAGAGTCCCAGAGGCCAGGAACTATCAGCAATTCCCTCTGGGGTATGGTGGGGAGTCAGGTTTTTGTGGGGGGGTCCTGAGTTCCCTCTCTTCTCGCCCTACAGTCCAGCCTACGACCAGTTCTGCCGCGACCACTTCCACAACGGGCACTGTGAGAAAGGCTGCAACACCGCGGAATGTGGCTGGGACGGGGGTGACTGCAGGCCCGAGGACGGGGACTCCGAGTGGGGGCCCTCCCTGGCCCTGCTGGTGGTGCTGAGCCCCTCAGCCCTGGAGCAGCAGCTGCTGGCCCTGGCCCGTGTACTGTCCCTGAGTCTGAGGGTGGGACTCTGGGTGAAGCGGGATGGCGATGGCCGGGACATGGTGTTCCCCTACCCTGGGGCCCGGGCCGAAGAAGAGCTGGGAGGAACTCGGGACCCCTCTCATCAAGAGAGAGCAGCCCCTCACCCACAGCCCCTGGGCAAGGAGACAGACACCCTTGGTGCTGGGTAAGGCTTGGGCAGGACGTGGTTTTTTTAAACAGGGCAGAGGGCAAGAAGGGAGCCAGAGCCTGATACTGGGATCTCTGAGGTACCTCTCCCACAGGTTTGTGGTAGTGATGGGTGTGGATTTGTCCCACTGTGGCCCTGACCACCCCGCATCCCGCTGTCCCTGGGACCCTGGGCTCCTGCTCCGCTTCCTGGCTGCGCTGGCTGCAGTAGGGGCCCTGGAGCCTCTGCTGCCTGGACCCCTCCTGGCTGCCCACCCTCACGCAGGCACTGGTAGGTGATCCCCTGCCATTTCCCCCCACTTTTGCTCCCCAGCTAGCTCTCACACTGGCACAGGCAGGAAAGAGTGAATGGGACAGGATAGCTAGCTCTCACGCTGGCACAGACAGGAGAGAGTGAATGGGACAGGATAGCTAGACCCAAAATGTTCTTTGCGGGGACTTAGGTCCTAAACCCCAACACCTCCTTCTCAAACTGGAGCTCCTCCCAGTCCGGTGCTGCAGTCTCCATCCTTATGTCCCTAAGTGCTGTCTCCCAACCTCTCCCACAAGCCCTGGCGTCTGCCTTAACTTTACTGAAGCAGAGGATCCAGTGGTCTCTGTATCAGTTCACAGCACGTGAATGCATAATAGTCGTGACAGTGTGCTTACGATGTGCCTTGGGCTAAGCATTTCACGTTAACTCATTCAACGCTCCCTACAACCCCTTGAAGCAGGCACTCTATCCCACTGTACAGAGGAAGACACTGAGGCACAGGGCGTTACTGCGTCTGCCCGAAGCTCTCCCAAGAGTGGCCAGTCTCCAGGAGTGACCTGACTTCTCTCTCTCCCACCAGCGCCCCCCGCCAGCCAGCTCCCCTGGCCGGTGCTGTGCTCCCCAGTGGCCGGGGTGCTTCTTCTGGTCCTTGGGGCTCTTCTCGTCCTCCAGCTCATCCGGCGTCGACGCCGAGAGCACGGGGCCCTCTGGCTGCCGCCTGGCTTCACTCGCCGGCCACGGACTCAGCCAGCTCCCCGCCGCCGCCGGCCCCCACTGGGCGAGGACAGCATCGGTCTCGAGTGAGAATGAGGAACCTGGGCTCCGGGAGGTTCGGGAGGAAGGGGGTCAGGGAGGGGTCTCTCCTTGAAGCCTCTCTTGACCACAAGTGAGCAATTCCAGTGCAGATGTTGAAGGTGGGGAGGGAGGGTTAGGACCCCGATGGTCCTAACCCCATGGACCCTCCACTTTCCCCCTGGCAGGACGCTGAAGCCAGAGGCGGAAGTTGAAGAGGACGGAGTTGTGATGTGCTCGGGCCCTGAGGAGGGAGAGGAGGTAGGCCCAGTGAAAAGGCTGGGGCCAGAATGGTCCCGAGGGGATGGAGGGGATGAAAAGTCGCCTTCACTGACTCTTACTCTTGCCCCAAAGGCTGAAGAAACAGCCCCAGCCCCCAAGTGCCAGCTGTGGCACCTGAGCGGTGGCTGTGGGGTGCTCCCCCAGGCAGCCATGCTCACTCCTCCCCAAGAGTCGGAGATGGAGGCCCCCGACGTGGACACCTGTGGGCCGGGTAGGTGAGCCAACCCAGACAAGAACATGGGGGGGGGGGACCCTGCTTTGAACTTTAGAAGCACAAAGTCCTTTAGTGTCAGAACTGGAGGCACTGAACGTTAACAGGTGCCTAAGGACACTGATCTCACAGTCTGGGCTGCAGACTGCAGAATCCGCATCGCTTGGCATCTCTCAGAAACGCAGCTGCTTCAGAAACTGGAGATGTTGAGCGATCGGTGCTTTCCTGAGCACGCCACGTGAGTCTGATCAGACTCGAGTCTGAGAACAGAGGCCACGGGGCCAGCACTGTGGCGCGGCAGGTTAAAGCCGACCTGCAGCGCCGGCATCCCGTAAGGGCTCCAGTTCAAGAACCGATGCCCTGGAATGTGAAGGAACGTGGGCTGACTCCTTTTCCAGATGAGGAAACTTAGAGCTCAGAGAAAAGTTAGAGAAGTCACTCAATTAAAACCACACAAAATCAACAGCCATCACATAGCCTCCTGACCCCTCCAGCTGTGGTTCCCCTGAGCCTCCAGGTTCACCCCTCCCCCGGATGCGTCCTCTGTCTGACCTGTTACTCATGTATTACCCACACACAGATGGGGTGACCCCCCTGATGTCAGCAGTCTGCTGCGGGGGCGTGGAGTCCAAGATTTTCCAGGGGACCTGGCTGGGAGGTCCTGAGCCCTGGGAGTCTCTTCTGGATGGGGGGTCCTGCCCCCAGGCTCACACCGTGGGCACTGGGGAGACCCCCCTGCACCTGGCTGCCCGGTTCTCGCGGCCAACCACGGCACGTCGACTCCTCGAGGCTGGAGCCAACCCTAACCAGCCAGACCGGGCAGGGCGCACCCCCCTCCATGCTGCTGTGGCTGCTGACGCCCGGGAAGTCTGCCAGGTCAGCATCTACTGGGGGGGGCCGTCAAGGGAGTGGGACCAGCTTCAGAGGAAAGCTGGGCTGACGCATCCCCCGGGGCTTAACAAAGAGGGAAACCGATTTGGAACCTGAAGGAGAAATTACTGAAGATATCTAAATATGGTCTGGGAAGCTGAACATGTGAGACATGGACCGGTTCACGGTGCCCCAGGGTATCCGGCCTTCTCTGTCCCTACAGCTTCTACTCCGCAGCAGACAGACCGCAGTGGACGCGCGCACAGAGGACGGCACCACACCACTGATGCTGGCCGCCCGGCTGGCAGTGGAGGACCTGGTTGAAGAGCTGCTTGCAGCCCGAGCAGATGTGGGGGCCAGAGATAAATGGGGTACGGAGCGGTGGGGATGTGTTACAGAGAATGTGCAGATGGGGTATGACAGGAGGTGCCAAACACAGGAGCAGCAGAGAGAGCAGCTGGAGGCTGGGACAGCCCCTGGCACCTGTCATGATGGTAACCCGGCTGTGCAGTGGCAGTAGGGAGCCGGTGAGCGCCACCCCTCCCCCATCCTCAGCCACAAACACACACACACACCGCCCCAGGCCACGGAGAGCTGATGGAGCAAAGTCCGCGAAAGGAGCGGGGTCTCGTGGGAGGAGGTGGTCTCCGGGTCCCACAGACCCCAAAACAATGCCCCATTGTCCCTCCCGAGCGCCAGTGACGTCACCAGGGCACCGCTTCCTGCCCGCCGGCGGTCGCCGGGGCAACCCTTTCCGCCTTTCACAGACCCAGTAGCCCTTCCTCCAAAGCCAGCACCGTGGGAAACCGGAACCCAGGAGTCTGCCCCCCAGCCGCGGCGTGACAACCTTCCGCATTGTCTCCTAGGGAAAACCGCGCTGCACTGGGCCGCTGCTGTGAACAACGCCCGCGCCGCCCGCTCCCTCCTCCAGGCCGGAGCCGACAAAGACGCCCAGGACAATAGGGTCAGGCCGGGCAGCAGGCCCCTCACAAAGACACTGGGGTGCAGTCGAGATGTAAAGCGCGGGAATCCTGCAAAACCTGGAGGGGGAGGGACCAGTAGGTCGCAGTCAGGAAGGGCTAGTCCTGTGGGCGTGGCCGCCCCTGACAGCGCCCCCTGCTGTCTTCTCCCTCACAGGAGCAAACGCCGCTGTTCCTGGCGGCCCGGGAAGGAGCGGTGGAGGTAGCCCAACTGCTGCTGGCGCTCGGGGCTGCCCGAGGACTAAGGGACCAGGCCGGCCTAGCGCCCGGGGACATCGCCCGCCAGCGGAACCATTGGGATCTGCTGACGCTGCTGGAGGGGGCGGAGCCACTAGAATTACGTCACAAAGCCTCGCCGGGCCGTGAAGCCGGCGCCCTCCCGCGCGCACGGACTGCGTCCGCGAGCGTGCCTCCGCGCGGAGGCGGGGCTCTGCCGCGCAGCCGGACGCTGTCAGCGGGGGCAGGCCCGCGTGGGGGCGGAGCTTGCTTGCCAGCGCGCGCTTTGTCCGTAGACTTGGCCGCGCGCAGGGGCGGGGCGCACTCGCGTTGCCGGAGCGTATCCGGAGGGGCTGCGGGAGGCCCGCCCCCGCGCGGCCGTAGGTATTCTGCGGGCATGCGCGGGCCTCGGCCCCACCCCGAGACGGCGCGAGGAAGATCCGGGGTCGCGGCGGGGTGTGGAGGCGGGGCCTCAGCGAACGAATGGCCCTGTGATTGGGTGGCCCTGGGAGCCTGCGAGCCCGCCTCCGCCACTCCGGTCCCGCTTCCGTGCCTCACTCCGTCCCCTGAGCGGGGATCCCCTCACGTTGTCTGGGGTCTCCCGAGCGACCGAGCGATGCCCTTAATTGCGGGAGAAGAGACTCAGAAATAGAAGGCTACGCGGAGGGGCGGGGTCCTAAAAATTACCACCCGTTACAGGACGGGAAGTCTGGAAGGCTAAGGGTCTCAGATCGAGCCCCGAAAGGGAGACGTCACGAGTTCGCGTCCCCTCCCAAAATGAGTATGCCCACCAGACTTGGCGTCGCCTTGCACGTGGAGAAGCTGCAGCTCTGGGAAGGAGGCAGGCCCTGTCCCTCTCCCAGAAAATACGGGTGAGAGGCCACAGGACAGAGTAAGAACTACAAGCCGATAGGACAGAAGCTGGTCTTTCCCATATATGGTTTCCAAAGGGAGTCTCTACCGCCCATTACCCCCTCGGCCCACAAATGGACCACAAGTATTTATTAAACACCTACTGCGCGCCAGGCACTGTGTAGATGCCGTGGGCGGCCAAGGACCACCCTAGCCGATGGCTCCTTGTAGTCCCCTCTTCCCCATCCCCAACAAGAAAACTGCAGGCATGAAGTCATTCTTCCAACCAAAGCGAACTCTATTTAAAGAACCCCAAATTTGTCATCTATAATAAATAAAAGCTCATTTAAAGTGTTACTTTTTTTGAGGGGGGGTCGGAGAACGCAATGGCAAAAAAATATAGGAGTGACTATGTGTGTTTTTAGAATTTCGGCTCAGCATTTTCACGGGGTCTTTAAGAACAGGAATGAATAGATTTGGGGAGTCCCATGTGAATTTAGAGCATTACCTGAAAGCAGCAGCCCACTAGCCCAGGGAGACCCCACACACACGGTTTCCCTCCAGTCCAAGGGCATTCCGTGGTAGCCACTCAGGAGTCTCCCTAAGGCCTTCATTCAGTCAAGCAGAGGAAGATGGAGAGAGCATCTGATGTGCTAGCCCCCTTTCAGCAACATGGTTACACCTGTTTAATGTTAAAGAGGCACAAGGCATCTTGAAAACCAAAAATAGTCACCGGGTGTTCACTATGTGCCAAGTGCTTTATTACAATGAATCCTAACATGAGGTAGGTGTGATAAAAACTCCATCTTGCAAAAAAGCAGGCACCGAGATTCTATTTGCCCAGGATTGCAGGCACTGAATGGTAGAACCAGATCTCATCACATTCCGTGTTCCAAGTCACTCAGCTGTAACCCCCCAACATTGCAGGTAGCCATTGGAGGTTCCAAGTGTATCTTGCTCCCACTTCGGTGCCAGTGAGCCATCTAGCATTATCAAAGACGGAGCCCGGAGCCCAGTCCTCTCCCTTTTCCATTTCTAACCCCTCCCAATTTCATGACCAAAGAGATGTCTTCCCCTGCCCCTTCTTGACTGCACTGAGTTACCAGAACGCACCCCATCGACCTTAAACACAGAGGACAGGGTCATTCCACGTTCACTAAAGGCCTGTGTGTAGGACCCAGCACTAGGAGTACACGCATGTATTTGAGAGCCTGACATCCTGGGTCTGAAGACCCCCTGCTTCCAGTGGACCCACGTTCCTGCCAGTCCCAATTTGCCTGGGAGAGGCAGGGCAAGCTATCAGGGTCGGCCTGAAGGAGTGAAGGGACCAGGCTGGGGGGAGGGAGATTCTGAGGACTGAAACCACTTCCTGTGTAACTAGTTCCTGTGTTGACAGAAAGAACTGAAGGGGGTGGAGGGAGCAGAGCCACGGTTTGGGGGGGCCACCGAGGCTTTGGAGACGAGAAGGCCAGGAGTCCGCTTCCACCAAGAGCCCCCTTCACTCCTGCAGCTGGGAAAGTTTTTCCCAGCCTCTGTGCTCCCCTGGGGAGAGGTCAAAGGAGCCGTTTGGGTGGGAAAAGAGAATGGAGGAAGTTGACAGGGATGGGCGGGGCCCGTGGGGGGGCTGACCAGGAACCCAGCTTCCTGCTCAGTACCCGGGCGTCCAGCCCCCAGCTCACCCCCACCCCTTCCAGCCCCCACTCCCCTCAGGAACCCAAGGTTCCTGCCCTCTGCCGAATCCCAGCCACCCCTCCCCCAAAGGTTTCTCCCCTCCAGGGCATGGAGGCGGAGAGACCCCAGGAAGAACAGGATGGTGAGCAGGTGAGCTGGGCACCGGACCACCGGACGGGGAGGCCAACACTGGCAGAGCAGGGAAGTAAGAAGACCTAGGGCAGAGACCCAGGCACAGGGGATTTGCTGAGGCCTGGGCAAATGGGGCAGGAACAGAGGCACAGAGAGAAAATGGGCCCCTGGCCTCGGCTGATGCCCCGGCTTGACTGGAACGGACGTCTCTTGGCATCAGGACTCCGCTCAGGATGAACAGAGCTGGCCCCCTCTGAACTCCACCCCTCGGCCTTGGCGATCTGCTCCTCCGTCCCCTCCTCCTCCAGGGACCCGCCACACAGGTACCCCCTCTCACCCAGGGACCACCTGGACCCCGATGCCCACCGACATCCGGGCCTCAGTACCAAGGCCCACTCCTCCTGCGTCTCCGGCGGCCTCCCCGCACATCCCCTCTGCTCTAACCCCAAGTCCCCCCCCCCCCCCCGCCACTCCCGCCTGCCAGCCAGCCTCTCCGGGTCTCTGAGCCCTCTTCCCTCCTCTCCCCAGCCCTGGGGCCGCGCTCGGCCTCCCTGCTCTCCCTGCAGACCGAGCACCTTCTGGACCTGGTGGCCGAGGCCCAGTCCCGCCGCCTAGAGGAGCAGAGAGCCACCTTCCGGGCTCCCCAGAACCCCCCGGCGCTAGCGGCCCCCCCATCCCGGCCTCTGGAAGACAGAGAACAGCTCTATAGCACCATCCTCAGTCACCAGGTGAGACCCCCCTGGAGGCAAGGGCCAGGCCTCCTGGGCCTTACCTCCTTTTCTGCCTGGCCATCTGCCCCACTGGCGCTAGGTTTCCCTCTGTGCCCCCTACCTCAACCCTAGCTCCTGTCAAGGGCCCCCTCCCCTCAGACCCCCACCAATGCCCACCCTCTCCGGCTCTTCCAGTGCCAGCGGATGGAGGCCCAGCGGTCAGAGCCTCCCCTCCCTCCTGGGGGACAGGAGCTCCTGGAGTTGCTGCTCAGAGTTCAGGGTGGTGGCCGCATGGAGGAGCAACGTTCCCGGCCCCCCACACACACCTGCTGAGGCTTGAGCCTCTCACCGGCCTGCGCTCACTCCTGGGGCTCATATCTGGGCGATGCACTGCCTGCCCTCCACCCTGCTTGGCACAGGTGCCAGAGACTGGAAGCCCCAGCAGAAACCTCAATATGCATCACCCTCCTCACCGTCCCTGGGAACCAGAGGGGGTGAAAGTCCTCAAAACTGGGGAACAGGCAAGGTAGGCTGGGCCTTCAGCAAGCTCTTGACAGAAGGAGGAGGCCAGCGGCCCATCTCACAGAGCGGCTGGGAGTGGCTGCCCTGCCTTGTCCCCTGCCACCAGCCACCAGCCACAGTGCAGGCCTGAGGGCTCAGGCCTCCTCCTCCCAGGGAAAGGCAAATCTCCCAAGATTATGACCTGAGAGCCAGCCCTACCCTCTGAGCTGGCAAGGAGAAAGGGAGGACGGGGGTAGCGGTGAGGTGAAGACACTGAAACCTGTCCACCACCCCCAACCCCAAGGCTGAGGCTTAGAGGCCGTGGGTGGCCCTTTAGCCCTGCCCCACCCCCTCCCCACCGCTGCTCTGAGTCTGTGTGATGTTTTGGTTTTATGAATAAATGTGATTCCCCTCTGGACTCCAGTCTGATGTCTGGGGGGGGGGAGGGTAGAGGGTAGGAAGGTGAGGCCAGAGGCCGGGCCTCTCTCCCCTGTCTGGCCGAAGGCCAGCTCCCCTCCCTGGCTGCTTAATTACTGGCTCATTAAGCAGCGGCTGGAGACCTCCCTAATTATCTCCCCCACCCCCTCCCCTGCCTTTAATTAAGTAGAGCAGGGAGGGGAGTCGTTAGAACAAGAAATATGAACTGAGCGGTCCGTGAACCCAGGCGGCGCAGCAGCCCGAGCCCACGTCCCCTCGGCCGCTGCCGCAGGGCCCAGGCGGCGGGCCCCCAGCCCCCGCACAACCCTCCGGGGCCGCGGAGGTGCACGCCCGGGCCTTCCCGCAGGCCCGTTTGCCTGGTGGGCCGGCCGCCTCCCCTCCTCCACTCGGTCTCGGTTCCTCTGTTTTCTGTGCGTCTCTCTCCGCCCCCAGCTCCTCCCTGTTCCTCCTCTCTTCTCCCCTCCTCTTCCTCCCCGGCTCCCCTCCCCCAGCCTCCCTCCCTCCCCCCTCCTCCCTCCTCCCTCTCTCGCACACACACCCCCGCTTGGGCCTCCTCTCTCTCTCTCTCTCTCCGGCTCCATTTTCTCCGCCGCCGGGGGCCGGGGTCTCCTGTGGGGGCCCAGCCGGTACCCCAGGCCTCCCTTCAGTGCCGGGGTGAACCCCCGGGGAGCTGGGAGCCGGGGAGACGGGCGGGGGTTGGGGCGGAGGGAGCAGCGGCCCCGGCGAGTTTGGGGGGGAAGTAACCAGGCGGGGGGAGGGGCGGAGCAGGGAGGGGGCCTCAGGGCCCCCCCCCAGCTATGGACGAGCGGCTGCTGGGGCCGCCCCCTCCAGGCGGGGGCCGCGGGGGCCTGGCATTGGTGGGTGGGGAGCCTGGGGGCCCTGGCGAGCCTCCCGGTGGCGGAGACCCCGGTGGGGGTAGCGGGGGGGTCCCGGGAGGCCGAGGGAAGCAAGACATCGGGGACATTCTGCAGCAGATAATGACCATCACCGACCAGAGCCTGGACGAGGCCCAGGCCAAGTGAGTGCCCCCACCCCGTGACCCCACACAGACCCACCAGAACCCTGTTCACATGCTCTGAATCTTATGGGAGCGCCCCCCTCCCCCGAGTGCAGGGCCGGCTCCAGGATCCTCCAGCTCTCTTCTCCTCTCCTTATTCCTGGAAGCCCCTAGAAAAGTGATCCCTCTCAGCCCTCCCTTCACCCGGCACCCTGAGACCTTCACAGAGGGAACCCCAAGTTCCCTCCTAACCTTTTGGTGACCCCTACCCGCGCGTGGAACAGCCTCCGTCCGGAGCCCCCTTGAGATTCCCAGACTAGAAACTGTTCTTGAGGTGTGCAGTCTTCTGCCCTAACTCCTCCCAGCCCACCCCCATTCCCTTCGGATCTGGGGCCCTCCACACCCCTCCTGAGGGAGCCCCAGTTCAGCGAGACACCAGATGCATCAGCTCCCACCTGCTCACCAACCCCCCTGCCCTGCACTGACCACACCACCGGCCCCTCTTGGCTCTGCCCCTTTCAGCCACCTCAAACTTGGGACTCTTCCCCATCTACCCCAGCCTGCATCTCCGAAGTCTACATTCAGTTCATTTCTCCCAGCAGCACCCCAAACCTTTCTCCATACTTTTCCTAGACCATCTCCCAAAGCCCTCAGCCCAGCCAGGCACCTGCTGCCTGCATCTTGCAGCAGAGTAGCTTCCCCGGCTCTGGAGTTCATCTTTCCCCAAGAGCCACCTCCAACCCTGCTTCCTCCCTCCATGCATTTACCGCCTGCCTCCTTGTCCCCTCTTGCGCCCTCATAGTAAGAGCCCCCAGCTCTGTTTCTCTAGCACCTCACCTCTCTTTCCCCACTCCTGCTCCTCCCAAGGAAACACGCCCTAAACTGCCACCGAATGAAACCTGCTCTCTTTAGCGTCCTGTGTGAAATCAAGGAGAAAACCGGTATGTGAGTCCCCCTCTGATTCTTCACCTCTGGGGACAGAACCCTGCTGAACCCTGCTCACTACAAAGAGTTGGACAGCGTGGGACCCTGAGGAAAGTGGGGAGTCGGGGAGGTTGCTGAGAGGCTCCGGGGAAGGCACTAAAGTCTCCAGGAGCTGCCAGGAGGACTGAGTGTTGGGTGTGAGGTCCCTGGGTCCCTAAGCCCACTCACCTGCATGCTAGGCCTCAGCATCCGAAGCTCCCAAGAGGAGGAGCCGGTGGACCCACAGCTGATGCGCTTGGACAACATGCTTCTGGCAGAGGGTGTGGCTGGGCCCGAGAAAGGGGGGGGCTCAGCAGCAGCCGCTGCAGCCGCTGCGGCCTCTGGGGGCGGCGTGTCCCCTGACAACTCCATCGAACACTCGGACTATCGCAGCAAACTTGCCCAGATCCGCCACATCTACCACTCAGAGCTGGAGAAGTATGAGCAGGTGAGGCGAGGCCCTGGTGGGGGAATCCTTCGGCTGAAGGGCCCCTCCCAGCAGCCCACCGCCCTCCGCACCACAGGCATGTAATGAGTTCACGACCCATGTCATGAACCTGCTGCGGGAGCAGAGCCGCACGCGGCCCGTGGCACCCAAGGAGATGGAGCGCATGGTCAGCATCATCCACCGCAAGTTCAGCGCCATCCAGATGCAGCTTAAGCAGAGCACCTGTGAAGCCGTCATGATCCTGCGTTCCCGCTTCCTGGATGCCAGGTGGGACTCGGGGAGCCAGGCCAGCCCCCCAGCCCCCCAGCCCCAGGCTCCGTCCCTCCCTCCCTGACAGCCTGGACCATCGTGTCCCCTGGAGCTCCACAGTGTGCCAGCCTTGCCAGACGCCAGTGTCCTCCTCCCCATTTTTCTCGCGCTTCTGCAGACGGAAACGCCGTAACTTCAGCAAACAGGCCACTGAAGTCCTCAACGAGTACTTCTACTCACACCTGAGCAACCCATACCCTAGCGAGGAGGCCAAGGAGGAGCTGGCCAAGAAGTGCGGCATCACCGTCTCTCAGGTTTTCTGGGGCTCGGGGAAAGGAGTTTTCAAGCAAAGAGGGCCTATTTGGTGGGGGGGCTACATGGGGAGGGGTTCTGCTTCATCCCCTGTTTCTGTGCAACACCACGCAGGTCTCCAACTGGTTTGGCAACAAGCGGATTCGCTATAAGAAAAATATTGGGAAGTTCCAAGAGGAGGCAAACATATATGCTGTCAAGACCGCCGTGTCAGTCACCCAGGGTGGCCACAGCCGCACCAGCTCCCCGACACCCCCTTCCTCTGCAGGTAGGAGCCCGCCGTCACCCCAGCTGGCTGTTGTGCACACTTCCTGCTTTTGTTCCTACTTCCTGCATGGGCAGGATCATGGCAGAGGGGACCCGTTTGGGCTTGAGAGGGAGCAAGCTGAGAAGAGGTTGGGACGTCAGGGGTCAGAGGTCACTCCAGGGAAATGACTTCCGCCCACTCCAGTAGGTGGCCAGGGGAGGCTCAGAAATAGCCTGTTGGGTGGGAGTGTTGATACTTTTGTGGGTAATTTGTGTCCAGCGGCACATCCCAGAGAGCCGCCTTGGGGGCTTTTTGGAAACAAAGTTGTGGTTCACTTGCTGTCAGGGACTCTGCTCTCCCTGATTCTCTCTCTGCTCCCCCAAGGTTCTGGCGGCTCCTTCAATCTCTCAGGATCCGGAGACATGTTTCTGGGGATGCCCGGGCTCAATGGAGATTCCTATTCTGCTTCCCAGGTCAGGTGGCCAGTCTCCTCTCAAGTAGGGCTTTCCTGAATGCCACTCCCACCCCCATTTGGGAGATGGAACTTTGGCCTCTCTTCACTGTCCTTTCTCCCTCTGCGACCTGCAGGTGGAATCACTCCGACACTCGATGGGGCCTGGGGGCTACGGGGATAACCTCGGGGGAGGCCAGATGTACAGCCCTCGGGAAATGAGGGTGAGTGGGTCTGGAAGCCCCCCACCCCGCAACCTCTGCAGCTCTCACCAGAGGGAGGGCTTTTTCCCCAGAGGCGTGGTCCTCACACAGGGCATCCCGTGACCCCGTTCCAACTGTCTCCCTTGTTCCAGGCAAATGGCGGCTGGCAGGAGGCCGTGACCCCATCCTCAGTGACATCCCCAACGGAGGGACCAGGGAGTGTTCACTCCGACACCTCCAACTGATCTCGCCCCTCAGGGTCACGGGGTGGGGCTGTCACCAGGCGACTCGGGAAGAGGACGTGGGCATCCGGAGGACAAACCCCAAACACAGGAGAAGCACAAGACAGAGAAGGGCAGATGGGGTTGTCCCCTCCCAACAAGACTGAGTGCTGGGGGTGCTGACCACGAGGCAGGGAGAATGGGGCCCCTGATGGGAAAGTGGGGTCTCCCCGATTTCTCCTCTTCTCTTTTTTTCTCTCCCTCTTTCATACACAGAAACCTATTTTTCAGACCCCTTTTTCTCCTTCCTCCCACCTTTCTCTCTCTCTCTCATACACCCACATTCAACTATTCTGTTTCTCTGAGCCACACCTCCCTCGCCCCACTTTCCCTTTTTCCCCACCCCACTTATATGCTCTGGAATCTGTGGAGACGCCAGCCCTGCCCAACCAGAGATGCCAAAAATGGGGACACGACTGGACAGAGGACATGGGCCACGCCCCCCGTGCATCCCCACCCTGCCCCTCCAGACGGCTTTATTACCTCATACGCAGCTCATCTTAAACCAATAGAATCGCTCGGTGGAAGAGTGTCTGACTCAGATATCTACCTCGGAGGGAGTTTCTGCTACTTTAGGGAATTCTTGACTGGGCTTTGGGGTTGGACTTTTTTTTTTTTTTTTTAAGGAAAGAATAAGAAGCCCTGGGATCCATCTGTAATTTTTTTTTGTTTCTGATATTTTGGTTTGTTGGTGTTGTTGGTTCTTAATTTTTAATTTAGTTTGGGGAAGTAGGTTTTTTATATATATAAAGATATATTCCTTTTTTTAATTTTATTTCTCACTTTCCTATATTAGGGGTGATAGCAGCCAAAGGGGTTCTGGTAAGAGAAAAGGGAACAAGCAGAATTGGTGAAAGGGCCCCCCGTGCCAGGCCTGGCCATCCAGAAGGGAGTTTTGCAGGGCACTGCAGTGCTGCGTGCTGGTGCAAGCGGGTCGCTGGTGCTTCCGGTTTGAGGCACTGAGGTGTGGGCCCTGCTGTCCTCCTTACCTCCTTCCCACAACCCCTGGGCAGGTCTGGACTCAGTGATTTTGAGGCATTTGAAGATGCCACCTTCCCTTAGATGCATCTTTAATTAAAAAAAAAAAAAAACTATTTGCAAATTGGAGGTGAACGAATCTGGGAGGGGGTTATTACCAAATATGTTAGATATGGGTTGGGGTGCTTATATGTGTATCTCCCTCAGTTTCCCCAGAAATGTATCTTTTTTGTTTCTCATGCCAAAATCAAGGGGGTGGGGAGAGGAGGGAGGTTGCAAAAAGCCAGGTATGGGGGGGAAGTAGAATCAGCACTGTCCCGTCCTTGGCCCTGAACCCTACCACGTGATCCCCTCAGACATCCTCAGGATTTGACAAAACTGTCAGTGGGAACGTCTCCCGTCAAGGAACTGGGCAGAACTGTGGGGCAGGCTGGGAGTGTGATGGGTGGGGGTGGGAAGCACGGGCCGGGGGCAGTTCTCTCCTCACTTGTAAACTTGTAGTTTCACAGAAAAAAAGACAAAAAAGCCACGCAATTTTAAATAAAGAAATTTCTTTTTTCCCTGGGTTTAGTTGAGAATTTTTTTCCAAAAACATGAGAAACCCCAGAAAAAAAAAAACTATCTTTCTCTCACCAAGCCCCAGACAGATCTCTCCCCAGTCCCCTAACCTTGCCCTCACTAGCAGGCCACCTGCCCACCCTTGGGGATGACAGCCTGCCCTGCATCCTGTTGCTTAGCAACCTTGCCCAGTCACCATGGGGCTCTAGTTGGCACCTTCAGCAGGTGGATGGAATATTGGGGGGTGGGGGCGGATCTAAGAGGAGGAGACCCTAGGAGGTACACGCCCCACCCCCAGGGAAATAACTGTGCCCAGAGGCTGGCAGTGCCTGGGGGTGGGGTGACCATTGTTTCCCCTAGTACCTGAAGGACTCTTGTCCAAGAGGTATGAATTCCTAGCATTCCCTGTGACAGGACAGGATGGGGAGATGGGGGCAGGGGAGAAGGTGCAAGCCCCACCTAGGGCGGTGGCCACAGCAGTGAAAGGGGCAGACACAGCCAGGAGCCTGGGCAAGCAGCAGGATGGCAGCAGGGGCAGCGGCCGGAGCCTGGGTGCTGGTCTTCAGTCTGTGGGGTGAGCCGCTCCCCCTGTCCCACCACTCCTCCCTGCAGAAAGCCTTCCCCTCCCAACCCCCCCAGCCGTGTGCCACAACCTTCCCAGAACTCTCCTAGTACCTGGGCACTGCTCAAGCTCCCACAACTGCTCTGTCCTGATTGCATTAGCCTCCCCCCCCCCCATCTCTCCACCCTTCTCCCACGATGATGTCTCCCAGGGGCAGCAGTAGGTGGTCAGAACATCACAGCCCGGATTGGGGAGCCGCTGGTGCTGAAGTGTAAGGGGGCCCCCAAGAAGCCACCCCAGCAGCTGGAATGGAAACTGGTAAGCAGGGCTCCTGACTTCAGGGAGACCAGCATGGTCCACGGCCCTCCACCCTGCCTCATCAGTCCTTGCCCAGGCGACTCACAAGGTTTCTACCTTTCTCCTCTGTCTCCAGAACACAGGCAGAACAGAAGCTTGGAAAGTCCTTTCTCCCCAGGGAGGCTCATGGGACAGTGTGGCCCATGTCCTCCCCAATGGCTCCCTCCTCCTTCCGGCTGTTGGGATCCAGGATGAGGGGACTTTCCGGTGCCGGACAACAAACAGGAATGGAAAGGAGACCAAGTCCAATTACCGAGTCCGGGTCTACCGTAAGATTTCCAGGGCCTTCTCTCATCTAAGAAAAAGCCTTCGACCTCAGCTCTTGACTCCTTGGCCCTGCAGTCCGAGGATCTCTGACTTCTGCTGCCCAATTCCCACACCCAGAGCGTGAGAACCTTCAGAGCTGCAGCCTCTGATGGGGTTTTTCCTTCCCTTAGAGATTCCTGGGAAGCCAGAGATCCTGGATCCTGCCTCTGAACTCACGGCCGGTATCCCCAGTAAGGTAGCAGAAGAAAACCAACACAGAGAGTGTCCTGTGAATGGGAGGGGACGGTGGCTGCCGTGTGTGTGTGTGTGTGTGTGTGTGTGTGGTCGGCATCTCATTTCCAAAGGTGATGGCGTCCCTCTTTTCCCAGGTGGGGACATGTGTGTCTGATGGGGGATATCCTCTGGGGACTCTCAGCTGGCACATGGATGGGAAACTCCTGGTACCTGACGGGAAGGGTAAGTCCTGAGGTGCTCGGTCCTCCCTGCCTCTTCCTCACTCTCACAGCCGCCCTGGGATGTCTTAGCTTGTCCTCCCCGCGCCACAGGAGTGTCTGTGAAGGAGCAGACCAGGAGGCATCCTGACACGGGGCTCTTCACCCTGCAGTCAGAGCTGATGGTGACTCCAGCTGGGGGAGGAGGGCCTCCCCCCACCTTCTCCTGTAGCTTCAGCCCCGGCCTACCCCGCCGCCGGGCCTCATACACAGCCCCCATCCAGCCCAGTGTCTGGGGTGAGCACTTTTCTGGAAGTATGGCCTGCGGGGGGGGGGGGGGGGAGTCCGTGGCCACTGGGAGCACTCAGGAGTAACTTCAACCTCGTGCTCCTTCCCATCCCCAGAGCCTGGGCCCCTGGAGGTTCGCTTGCTGGTGGAGCCAGAAGGTGGAGCAGTAGCTCCTGGTGAGACTGTGACCCTGACCTGTGAAGCTCCTGCCCAGCCCCCTCCTCAAATCCACTGGATGAAGGATGTGAGTGACCTGGCGAGGCTGGGAGGTGGAGAGGACTAACTGGGAGGTGGGTACAGGGCTCCTGCAGGGAGAGGCAGGCAAGGAGGAAGACAGGGTATTTGAGGACATGGTGACAAAAAGGGTGTATGGGGTGTGTGGACTGCAGCTTTGTTGTAATAGTCTCCTACTTCCCTTCTCCCACTAGGGTATGTCCCTACCCCTGCCCCCCAGCCCCGTCCTGCTCCTCCCTGAGGTGGGGCCTCAAGATGAGGGGACTTACAGCTGCGTGGCCACCCATCCCAACCGTGGGCCCCAGGAAAGCCTTCCCATCAGCATCAGTGTCGGTGAGACCCAACCCCAAATCCCAGGGACCCTGGGGGCTGGCGTGAGGGACAGTGCAGGTGTCAGCTCCCTACCCCATTCTGGCATTATCCCCAAGAGCCACCCCACCCCTCCCTCAGTGCTCCCACACCCAGGCCTCCTCTGCCCCACCCAAATTCTGGCGCAGCCTCGCCCTTCCCTTCCTAATCGAGGGGAAGGACTCTGCTGGGACTCCCACCAGGTAGCCCTCTCCCCATCTCAGGTCTTCCCTTCTGACTCATCCCAACTTTGTCTTCCAGAGACAGGCGAGGATGGGCCGACTGCAGGTGAGGGGTTGGATAAAGTCAGAGAAGCAGGTGGCCTCCAACACTTGTGATTGGGGGATGGCCGACAAGAAGGGACTAGTGAGGAGCAGGGGCTGTGCCCTAACTTCCTCCATCTCCCTACAGGCTCTGAGGGTGGCTCAGGCCTGGGGACTCTAGCTCTGGCCCTGGGGATCCTGGGAGGCCTGGGAACAGCTGCCCTGCTTGTCGGAGTCATCCTGTGGCGAAGGCGGAAACGCCAAGGAGAGCAGAGGTTAGTGGAGAAGGCCAGACCCCTCAGGCTGGGGGCTTCCATGCAGCACGCGAGGGTGTGAGAGGGGAAATGGGGGAGGGTCCAGAACCACATGCAGAATTCTCCCCAATCCTCTTCCTCAGGAAAGTCCCCGAAAACCAGGAGGACGAGGAGGAACGCACAGAACTGCATCAGTCGGAGGCTCGGGAGGCGATGGAGAGCGGTACAGGAGAGCCCTGAGGGGCCCACGGGCTGACCCCACCCCTCAGATCCCTGGCCCCAGACCTGTTCTCCCCAGAACAACCCTTCCCACCACCTCACCAACTCATCTTCCACAACCAGAGCCCCCCATCAACAGGACGAGTAAACGGCTGACACATGTTGCCCACATGCGTCTGTGTGTGTGTGTGTGTGTGAGCGGGAGGGTTCACCCCTGCACCCTGAGGGAAAGGGGCGCCCGCCCACACTTCTGCATTCCACACCAGACACCTGCGCAAGCTGGGGAGAGGAAGGAAGGAGGGACAGACTTGGGAGAGTGCCCCATCAATATATTTCACCTTTTTTATTGAACGTGTATTAAAGGAGGTAGTGAGGGGAGGAAGCACTTATGTCAGAACCCATATTAGACAGGGGGGGGGACAATTAAATTAAACCCACAGGGAGAGTGGGGGAGACGCCAGGGAGCCTTGCCCACCTTTCAACATCCAATCAAGAAACCTGGGGGAAATCAGAGGATCCGGAGGAGAAACGTCCTCTTCAGCCCGTCCTCCTGCCCCAGGGCCACGAGTCCCCGTGCCACTGAGCGAGCAGTTCAGAGCGGCAGGCTTTCCCCTCCCACGCACACAACACACCCCGCCCCCGACCAGGGCTGCCCTTAGCAACAGAAACAGCGGGGTCATGGGGTGGGGGGGAGTCCAGGAGTAAGGGAGGGTCAGCAAGGACCCCCAATACTGATTCTCCTCTGGCTGGAGGTGGGCAGGAAGGAGGCATAGCTCAAATACTGAGCAACCAGAAAAAGAAGAAGATGGCGAGAAACAGGAAGAGGGAATCCTGCCAGCTGGAGGCCGGGTGCCCCTGTCCCAGATCCACACCTGTGGGAGAGAGGGAGGCTGAGGGAGGCTGAGGTGGCCTGCGCAGACGGAGGGGCTCCCTGGCAGGGGCTAAGGCAAGGCTCTTACCTGCACCCCGGCGGGAAGGCTCATGGGTGTTGAAGACGGTGGTGAAAAAGCCGAAGGGAAAAGCACCAACGCCGAACGAGAAGTGGAAGCCCCCGGTGTCGCCAAATGGCTGGAATCCCTAGGGAGGCGGGGAAAGTCAGAGGGGAAGGGGCAAGTTCCCGGCAAGGCAGGGGCACAGCTGGACAAGGCCACTCACCCCTCTGCTCTCCGGAGCCGGTCGCTGGCCCTGGGGGCGAGGCGGAGTTTTCAATCTGAGGAAGACCGGGGAGATGGTCAGCAGGAAATCGCTCCTCTCCTCTTTCCCGGGCAGAAGTCCCTGCCCACCTCCAGTCTCTCACCTGGGATCCTGGGGCTTCTGGCTTCCTCGCCCATACAGTGGGACAACGGTCTCTCTGCTGATCCCGGCCTTACACACAGGGCACTCCTGCCGCTCCGGCCGGGTCTCCAGCCACTGGGGGAAAAAAATGAAGTGGTTCCAGTACCCAGGAGGGCCTTGCAGCTCCTCCGACCTCCCACTTCCCTCTACATCTCTGAGTACACACCTGATGAAGACAGGGCCAACTGCATGGAGAAGAGAGAGAGAGAGAAAAAAAAAAAGTTTAAACTAGCCACAGAAAAAGACACAGGCCCCAGGCCTCACAACTCCACCTACCCTCTTTGTTTTTTCGCTTGCCATTTCTTTTCATAGTTTCTACAACCTCTACCGTGCCAGCTGACTTTCTGATCTTCCAACACCTGAAGCTCCATTTATCCTCAACTCTCTCCTCTCTTCTTCCCCCAACACATTCTCTCTCCCTCCCTCTCTTTTTCTTTCTCTCTCTCTCCCTCCTTTCTCTGCCTTTCAGTTTGATTTCCAATTCTCTTCCGCTCCTATTACCAGGTTTCCTCTATCAATCACAACCCCCTCGCTCCAAACCAAACCCCATGTACTAGTACATTCCTCCATTACTCCCTTATCTCTCAGTCATTAAAGTCTATTTACAGGGCCCTTTAACCTCTCAAGCCTGCTCCTGCACAGTGCCCTCCCCTAGATGTCACCTGAATGCGATCGCCTAGTCCCTTCTCCCCTACTCAACTGACACACGCCCCCCTTAGCCTTTGTGTCTCATCCGCTTCCACCTGTACTGCTATGAACCCTCACTTCTCTGGGGCAGGGGCAGCTCGGGTCTCACCTGTACAGATGTGCAGTGGCCCGCACTCCCCGCCCCACCTGCTCTTAACACACCACACTCCCCAGGCCCCCAAGACCCTCCTGTCCACAGATCGCCTCCGTTCAGACGTGATCCCCTACCCACACACACACACCAGAAAGACTGACGTCCCCTCTTCGGGCCTCACCGATGGGAATATGCCCTCCAGTTACTCCCCGCTCCCAGCCTTCCCGATGCTCACCAGTACAGGTGGCCACACACACTGACCACAGCTTCCCGAGCAGTCTCCAAACATATATTACATTCGAAGGTCGCGCCCGCCCCGCCCCCCTCGCGGTTTGGCCCTTCGGGCCCCCGTCCTCCTCCTCGGCGGCTGCCATGGCCCGTCCGGTGTCGCCCCAGCGTACCCCTCAGATCCCCCAAACACACAGACACACGCCCCAACACACGAGGAACCGCCTCCTGCCCACGATCGTTGGGCGGACTTCAAGGTTTTGAAATTCCTATTGGTGTGAATGCCTGTCAATCACACAGGGCTCAAAAGAAAAGATTGGCCCAAATGGTGGGGGCGGAAGAAAGGCTTGCTCGGTCCTGCCCTCGCACAATGACTATTGGCTGATACAGTTACAGTCAGTGTGCAATGCAAAGGAATTGGTAAGAACTCCGGTCAGGTCGCCCGGCTAGGGGGAACTTTATTCGTCTGAATAGCTGCCAATCATAACCAAAGGTCAGAAGCGATTGGCTCAGGACTACATAGAACTCGCCCACTATAAGCCGCTATCTTTCCTTCACTTCCTCTTTCAGAGAATGTGCGGATTCCTATTGGACTTTGGAGCGTATGGCTCCGAAGCAAACGATTGGCCGGAACTCGACGGAAAATGGTGGCGAGGCAAAATGCGTCTGCGCAGCACGCGGCTGGCCAGTTTGGCCAATCCTGTGAGAGTTGAGCCTCCCTGGTCCCACCCCTTCACTCCAACCTTGTCGCTATGGTGACTGCGCTACAATTGGCGGGGCTTGCAGTTCAAAGGCCTCGGCTTGGCTTCATCCGGGTCCTTCGATAGTGGTCTCTTTCGGCTGATTGGGCAGATTCCTTCGCCCCTGATTGGCCGAGATCGGGAACGCCAGCGGAGAGCTCGGAAAAGACGGCAAACACTAGGGTCGCAGGGTTCAAAATGGCTCCGGCCTGCTTGGGTGACGTAGGGCGCAGAACTTGGGTTCTCCAGCACCTTTTAGTGAAGGGAGCAGAACTGGGGTTAGCCCGACGTTTGGATGGTGCGAATGTCGGTCTGCGGTGCTGGTGTTAACCCAACTCCCTCGGCAGGACGACTCAGCCCGCCCCTCTAGGTGATTTACAGAGCAGACCTGAGTTAAAGGCCCACCTCTTTTTTTAATAATGTGACACGAAGTGGAACAGAATCGACTTCGGCTCTCCTTTAAGCCTCAGAAGCATAAGAGGCCTGGCTCCACGCCTCTGCGAGGAGATGCGGGAGGGGCAAAGCTCGCCCCCTTCCAGGCGGCCCTCCCCCCCACCTCGTGATTTGCCCGGCTCAGGGGTCTTTTCCTGGGCTGGAGCCTTGGGAGCCCAGTAACCCTTACTGTGGCCCGGGGACAGCATTGGGTAACAAGCCTTCCCACAGTGCTCAGTGTATCCTCTTCCCCAGGGCGTGTAAACTCGGGCAAGGCAGAGGTGTGGCTCAGGGCGTAAAGGCCCGCTGTGCACCGGCATCCTGACGAAAGCTCCCGCGTGGCTCAAGGTTAAGGAAAGATGAGCCGTCGGGAGTTGTGTAGAGGACAGGGAGGCCTGAAGGAGATACTGGAGGGAGGTGGGGACCACGCAGGGAGGAGTGGCGGACCGATCCCGATCAAGGGATAAAAGGAAGTATGCGGACGCGGCGTGCAGGACTGGGAAGCCGGATACACGGCTCTAAAGTTAAGAATGCATACTCGTCCCTAGGAGTCAGCCTTTTTCCTCGTTGTTTTCTAGGAAACAACGCTTATTCTGAATTAGCATTGGGAGAAAAGACGCATCCAGATTCTGTTGGGGGGAGGGGTCGTCTCAGCTTGGGTGGGTGAGGAGACCGACAGGAAGGAATTGGGAAAGAGGTGAAAAAGAGCATGGAGAGAAATGTACCAGGTCAGAGAGGGTGGGTGGAGGAGCGGGACGAAGGGCAAAGAAGTCGGACTGGAGCCCAGGGGAGAAGCGAAGAGGTGAACTCGGTGCTTGATAAATGTTTGGAATTGAATCGGGGACAGGAAAGTTTGGGGGAAGAATTGGAGGGAACAAGCAGTAGATACTGGAGACGAAGTAAAAGTGGCCGTAAGGGGAAAAGCGGCGGAGACTGAGAAGGAACGTACTGAGGGAGGGACAGCGCCAGGCCAGAGCTCTGTGCGCTGAAAGGGGGTTGAGGGCAAAAGAGCTGCAGCTGGAACCGAAGACCGGCAGGCAGAGCCGAGCGGTGGAAGCAGCTGAGCTCCCCCGGGGCGGAGCCAGCGAGAGGACTGTGGGGAGGAGACCCCCAGGGTCTCTGGGAGGCTATTGGCAAGCCCGGCCGCCCCATCACCGCCCCCCACTTTCCTGGGCCAGCCCCCGGAAACCAGCGAGCATTGGGGAGGGGTAGGGGGGAGGCTAGCGGGCAGCAGCCAGCCCCCAGCCCTCAGAGAGACAGCACGAAGGGAGGGAGGGAGGGTGCTGGGGGGACAACCCCCCACCATTCCTGCCGCTATGGGCCCAGCCTCCCACGCCCACCTCCCCTCCATCGGCCGAGGCTAGGACACCCCCAGGTCCCGTCGCCCCCTTGGCACCGACAGAGACACAGCCGCCACCACCGCTGCCGCAGCCTGGCTGGGGAGGGGGCCGGCCCCCCAGGCCCCCCACCCCACTGAGGTGTGGGCGGGAAAGGGTTGGGAGGAGGGGGGAGGGGTGCCGAAGGAGCCGGGGATGGGGGAAAGATGGGGTCTGGGAGGGCCGACTGTTCAGATGGTCGCTGGGGGGAAGAAGGGGGCCTGAGAGGGAGGCAGGATGGAAGTGCCACGGGAGGGAGGAGACGTGGAAGCCCGAT